GCTGAAGACAGAACGGTAAAACTAGACGAAAAATGGCCGAGGATCAATACGAACCGGTCTCGAGGGAGAGGGAAAGAGAAACGAAGGTTCGAGGAGAAGATTGCTTTTATTTTCACGCTTTGCCCTTCGAGAGAGCGCTGAAATAAGTGTTATGTATATAGAAATGAAAACGTGAAAAAAGTATAACTTTGAAAGAGAGATCATCCTACGTTACATAAACGACGATCGCGTTGCAGCGTGTCGAGAAGGACGGCGCGCGCGCGGAAGATGGTGCGGAAGGTGGTAGAAGAAGCGGGCGCGTGCCAGGCCGGGGACACGCTCGGTCGTTGAGTCGCGAGCGTTGCGAAAAGCAGGTAATGGCGTTGAAGTGCATTCGGCAGCTGCTCGCCATGAATACCGACATGAATACCCGAGGTGGACATGTGTGATCCCGTCCGTCTTCTTTAGACCCGGTGGCCCCGCCTATACCCGAGCGTGCCCCGAGCTCTATCGAGTGGAAAAGAGAGAGATACGCGCGCTGCTCTAGTCCGGCATTATATTATCGAGAACGCGTCTCTCGCTTTTTTATCCGTACCATCGATCGCCTCGTTCGACCCTTCCTCTCGATACGTCTCGATTACCTCGAAGGGGGGAGAAACATTTATTGCAGTCGAGCCCTTTAAAGGCACACATCACGAGAGGATCTCGTGAATTAACATATTGAGAGCTATGTATACATAATAGAATCGCGAGAGATAGAAAAATGAGTGAAGTGACGGCAATTACTTTCCCGAACGGAGATGAAGGGCGATTGTTAAATAGAGTTCGGGGAGAAGTGGCGACTTCTGCAGGATTACGGTTATTCGTGATGATCGCGGCCGGCGCCTGCTCCGGTGGAAATGACATTCGGAGATCGATCGGCCGATTGGCGCGGCGTGAAAAAGCGGGATAATAAGGGAATGGTGATTTCCGAACCGGCGATTTCTGTCGATGGTATCGTTAGGACCCAGATCCATCGGCCACCTGGCAGAGAACAACCGGCTGCGCGCGTCTGCCTTCCACCTTGAAGATCGCGATACTTAGCCGGCTTACACCCTCGCTCGCCTTTCGCGGCTTCGATCGCGCGCGAGCCTCAATTTTTTCCTAGTCGACCCTCGGAAGAAGGAGGGCTATGGCACACATAAGCAGTAAGAAAATTGATCAATCTCTGTACATGAAGAAAATATTGCAGTAAAGATTATCACAACATTTTGTCATGCTGGACCATGTTGAAATTATGACTGAGATTATTATGTACGGTGTAATCTTTAGTGACGTTTACAATGAAAGATTACAACACACGTCATAATTTCGCTTATAATTCCGGTATGGTTTAATATTACAAAATTTTGTGGTAATTTTTACTACAATATTTTCCCCGTGTATTCTTCTTATGTTCGAAGAATAATCGATAATCAAGAGTTGACATTTTTAGGTTATTCTGACGATCTGAAGGAGAGTTCGCGCCTACTTGTAGACCGATAAAACCACTTTGATGACTTTGATACTTTTTAACTTCTCTCTTGAATTTTTACTACGTTGAATTTTCACGTTATCTTCAACAAACTATTTTGACGCCGATACAGCGAAAACGAGAATTTAAGACTTCGTCGGGGTAAAGGGATTATATTGTACTATTAGAATCAAAATTGAACTTACCTTAGTTTCTACTATGTTGTAGAATTAAAGATTTAACACAGGACATAGAAAATTTCGACTCGGGATTGGTGACTGACAGGATTAGATAAATTAACTTAAGTTAATTATGCGAGACTATATACATACATGTACCTAACCTAACGATTTCGCGCGGAATGCACGATTTCTCTCCCAAACTATATATAAATATAGTTTTGCACAATTAAATTGTAACTTTAATAAGTTAATTTAATTTTAACGAGTATTGGTTAGTTAGTTTTTGTTGTGAAATTACTTTTAACTTGAAATAAGAAATTAATCTACCCAACCGTGATTGGCAAATTGCTTACTTCTTACGTCTTTCTGTGTGCCGCGACGCGCAGTGCGAGGAGAAGAGGGAGAGAGAAGAGGTCCTTTTTTCTTCACGTGGACGTAACATATTCGAATTTATGAATTTCCGTGTTTAGACGAGCCGCAGCTGGTACCGGACCGGTCCCGCTGGGACCCTTCTATCCGGAAAATTTCCGCTCCCTCTCTCCGCCTCGCCCTTCAGTAGCTGCAGCTTTCAAAGGACACGTGACTAGGCACGCCCAAGATTTCTCGCATGCATATAATGTCCTTAAGGGTCGCCGTGCGGTCCGATGATACGCGATACATACGGGGCGGTGCAACGGCGCTGTCCATCTTCGGACCGTTGAAAATTTTTGCCACGCGATCCCGTAACCGCCCATCGAGCGGCGCTAAACCCGAGACAATGCGGATCCCGACGCGAGCCTCATGAGAGACCTTTGTCGCTGTAATGACCGATGTCGCCTGTTCAAAAGGCTTCATCGATATTCTGATCACGTAAAAACGCTTAGCGGTGAAAAATCGAGAAAAACATAAATTAACAAATAGATCTCTCTTTCTCTCTCTCAGAAAAGACCTCTCTCCGGGATGAAGGACTCTTCTCAATTCCGCGCTTGTTAAAATCTAACCGAGCGGACGTCACGCCGAGACGCGTGCAATTAGAAAATAGCCTAAATTCAAGGCGGCTCGTGCGATTCGAGCGGAGAATTATATTTCGCCGCCGCCGTCGTGCCGGCTCGACGAGAAGCGCGGCCGAGATGTAGCGCGGCCAACAGGGAAATGGCCAATTATTAGAAGGAACGCACGTGGGTCGTACTTAAAGCCCGCTGCTGGCTAGGACAGTGTCTCACCTACTTCCTCCGATCGTGGTGTATTGCGGGAGGAAGACGTCGCGCGCGACGTATGACGTAAAGAAATTTCCCCCGTAAACCGACGCGTTATTCGTGAATTTTTATTCCGATTGCTACGATAAAGCCGGAAAGAGATGAAAAGAGATCGTTCGACCGAGTCTTTATGGGCAATCAGTCGACCTGAAAGATATACATAGGGTGTCCCGAAACTAACGTAGACCCTTAACATTTTTCGGAACAATATAATCAGTAATTTAAGTAGTTCAACAAAACCACGAGAAATAAATCCAAATTAGGATATAATGCACGAATAACGGGAAATTGTGACCAATTTCAAGTGACTTTTACGGAAGTTTACTTTAGACCTTAGTTCCACAACGGTGTGTTGGAAAAGTTGCTATGATTACGTACCTTCCTTCGGTATTTTCGTCTGAGAACATTCCCACGAGTTTGTTACATCAAGGACGACATGCGTCTATTCTGTGACGCACACTTTTATGTCAGTGAATCTTGGACGGATTTATCAGTCGCACTAATGTCGAAAGTACATCAGTCGAATCGCCGATCGCTGACTAAGCGCTTGGTTCCGCGGAGAAACCGCGACGGTGCAATTTTCAGAAGGCGGTTTCTCGGTCTGCGATCGGTTTTTCCGGCTGATTAATTGATGGGCTGCTATCGGAACAACTCGGCGATAAGTAACAGGGACGAATGTCTTTCTCGCGTTGATTCAATTATAATGTGGTTGCGGCGGCGTCGGGACGACTCGTGTGTCGATCGCTCTCGATCTGGCATTGAGCCTCGACGGGGAGGGGAAGCGTGAAAAATGTCGATCGTAACTAGTCGCGGTTGAATATTTGAACGGCGATTGACGTCACGACTTGACGCGGCCGGTGCGCTCGACTCGACGACGACTCGTGGAAATCGCGCGCCGATAGTTTTCTGCCGACGAACTTGTCGCGCAAGGTGTATCCGCTGTGTTTGCACAGCGCGTATCGTACGTCCGTCGTAGATTCAAGTCAAGATGAATCACGATAAGCTTCGATGGAGGAAGGCGCGCCCGACGACGATAATCCCGCGGCCGATAATAACGCCGACGATACGTAGACCTAATTAATGCTGTCTCATTCCCTTTTTGGGGATAGTAACGTCGGAAATTTTCAGTGAGAGGCATTATTTTCTTACTATTCGACGCATTTCGAAGAGCGCAATAAAATGTGAATATTTGGGATATCAGTAACTTTAATGACCTAGTTTGATCTAACGTTAAGACGCCCTAAGACGTCGTAAAGACGTCTTCTAGACATACGTGTTGCTTGGGTATCTTTAGTTCACCTCGGGTTTGTATTTGTCCAGTTTAAAAGAAAGTAAAGGTGACATCGTAAACAAGTAAATGGAGGCAGCACAAGTAATAAACAACAAATCCCGTTAACTTCAAATAGATGTCAATTTGGCCGTAACAGCATGACGCGCAACGAAGAACAAAATTCTATTCTTTAGGACGATAAATACTATTTACCGTGCCTACAAAACGGAAAACACGTGCGGTTCTTCAAGTTTCGAATATCCGAATGTTTACACTTGAAAATTTCACTATTCGAATATAATGTGACGAAAGTTTGGAAATTCGAATATAATTATTTGTTGATGATCCGATGAATCGGATTCTCCAAAGCAGCAGCAGTCATGATATACGAAAATAATGCTCAATGTTACTTTGCCTGAGGAATAGAACAGCATTAACGGAATCGTTTCCTTCTACACCGGATAGCAAAGAGATAGAGACGATCGATTTATCGATATAACCGCTCGATCGCGGAGTGACTATCACGTCTCTGTCTATCGGCGGAGCGAGGTCATTAATACAGACTTTGAGAAACGACACCGCCTGTGATTGCATCGCGCACATACGCGAGATTTTATTCAATTATCGACACGAGGAGGACTCCTCGTAAGGGCGAGAGCGCTCTCCTTCAGAGCCACCACGTTGAAAATTGAATCCGGGCCCTCCCACAGCAGCCGTTCCATCCTGCTGCGGCCTGCTGCTGCAGGGCGGGGGCCCGGTGTGCTTCGCGCTAGATCCCAAAGTCTTCACCCGAGATAAAACACACTATAAACGGCCGCCCGGGGACGGGTATCTGGTTTCAGGGAAGCGGCGGCACGTGCGCCGGAGTTCTGGCCCAGGTGCTGGAGCTCGTGCTGTCGAGGAGACGCAAGGAGGAGGAAGAGAGGCTAACGACAGAGGACGGCACGAGGTGGGAGGAGGAGGCGTAGAGGAAATCAGCTCGCCGGTGGCGAGGAGCAAATTCTGCTGCGACGACAGCGGTATCAGCAACAAGCGCCACTATCACTCCTCGCCGCCGCACCTTCACCACCTCCTTCATCGCCACAATCGCCGGCAGCCGCGCCGGCGATATCACTGTCGGACGGACATCGACGACGACAGCAATGACGACGAGGACAAAAAGGAGGACGGAGGTAACGATGAGGACGACGAGGACGAGGACGACGAGGACGACGGGAACGACGAGGGCCTCGAGTGCTTTCACTCGCGTCTGCATCAGCGATTCTACGACCGGCGGTCCAGCAGGTCGAGCGACGTCGTCGGCGCTCGGCTCGACGTCGAGCACGTCGAGGTCCGTCGGGCCGAGACGACGACGACGACGACTACTACTACCGTCCATCATCCTCTCGTACGGACCTCGCCGGCCGCCGCCAGAAGCACCGCCAGCACTACCGTCGCTGCTAACCCCTCTGTCGTCACTGCCATGGCGAGAGGATGCAAAATTCCACCCTACCTCGCGACGATATTAATTCTCTCCTATACTCTCCTCGGTATCGCAGGTTGGTATAACGCGTTTTATGTTAATCGGTTCCTTTATCAAACGATTGCCGGACAATTTTAGAATATTATCTTTTTACGCGAGAAGTTGGCTATTAATCTGAAAAATAGAAACACAATCGGAAATGACCGCTCGGTATTACGAATGTTAAGGTGCTGCTGTTCAAGTAATATTTACTTGATCCAAGTCAAATTGTTGTTGTTCCAGTACTCGTTGACAAATACTCACTGGAAGTAGAAATATGATTGACTATATACAATATTTCCTTCATATTAAAGAAGAAAATGCGTAACAAGTATTAAATTCATAATATTGAGAATATCAGAATTTATTCTTTGAAAATGTTCGCTGGACGGACAAATCTAAACCGCCAGGTTTCTTCGATGGAAAATAAATATATAATTTTAGTAAATACTCCCTTCAATTCAGAACCATTTTACACTTACATTCGGTAATTCATTCACGAATTACAAGGTATTACTTCCAGTATTTACCACAAGCTCGCTAGTAAAACATAACACTTGAATTAAGTGGTTGAAAAACAGGTAATTACGTTTACCTGATTCTAGCCCTTTTTTTTTATACACCGAGTAAAGTAACGAGGAGGAGCGAACAACGAATGCAAAATTTCGTTGTTGCATTTTGAAAAAATAACGAAACCAAGTAGAACGATTCGCTCATGAGGTAGCTTATCTTAGCTTAAAGAAAGTTCGTTTAGACGACGAATATGCTAATTGATACAACACGTTCACTGTTCGCTCGCCCACCTGAGACGGAGATCCCGCTGTATTCGGCGCTGCTAAGTGCGTCCGTCTGATTCTCTGTTTTTCTCACGCTAGAGTCGCGTGGTTATTTCAGCATCAGGGAATCGGCCGATTCCCCTCTTCTCTCGAGTATACGCGTTTGTCACTCTTGAAATGCAAAACGTATCCGCCGCATAGTCCAAAGTTAGAAATCGAAGAGAATCCGGAGATACTTCCTGACGGCTGGCTCGTGTCCACCGTAATTTAATTCATCGCATATACCGCCATATATCCGGGTCTTCTTGGCGCGGTTTTCCTTATGTTTGCTCAACATTTTCGTTGTACCGCCTGTCGGCCGCCGTGTCGGAAGCAACGGTAAAGAGTTCGACAGGAATACGCCCATCGGTTCGAATTCTGTTCCGTTAAGCGAGCGAACGAATGTACGTACGAATGCTCGCGAAAATAGCGTGTACTTAAAAGAGACGAGGAACGACAATTTCGCTTTACGCCTTACGGCGTGGAATCCCGTACGTGTCGCCTTTTACCGTACTTATTACGCTCATTGCGCTACAATCTTACAATCTGTCGTCTTTTCGTCCACCTCCACCACGCCCGTCCGAAAGAATCGGCCCGCCGAACAAAGACGCCGGCCATACAAAGTGCTTTCGTGCCGGGCGAGGAGCCGTCGCGCGCGACAAAGCGTTTATTTTATACGCGGCTTGTGCCGGATGACGAAGACGGCGGCGCGAGAATAAACGCGTGTAATATAATAATACTTGCGCGTCACGTTGCACCTGGTCTACGCGTAAACTGTCGAGAGAGATAATCGACGTGGAAAGAGAGTGTCGTTATCCGTTTTCCTGTTGCTCGCGTATCGCGCTACAATTTACAAAGGCGCTACCTCCGGCGGCTCACGGAAATTTACCTTTCCTCTTCGCACAAACCGTCACACCTTCGTCGCCGTTGTTCGACTATCGCCCGAGATAATAAGATGTAAAACGACGGATACAATTAACGAATCCCGGCTTGTCGGCTCTTATCAAGCCACCGACCCCACTCGCGGAACAGCGTGAGGCCTCCCTTCCGAGGTCTCTTTTCAACCGGCGATAACGATACGTTAGAGCTTAATGTATACTCGAGTTGCTGTGTTTTAACACCCTAGTCGGAATTTCGATGCCTCTTAAGGATAGTTCACGCTTGCTTAGATGGACTAGGAAAAACGGACGATACCACACTTGTTAACTTCGCTCGAGAATCTTTAAGGTAGTAGAGTGCAGGATTTTCAAAATACCGGCGCTTTATTTAACTATCTAAGTAACAAAATTTGGGGCGCGCGAAATTAAGACAAATATATACACATAATAATTACAGACACTTATTTATTTTTCTTATTAATGCTTTATTTATACGTCAGTTGACCAAATAGAGGTGCGCACATAATAGAAGGTGATGTATAAATATTTAAATATGTGTATATGCATATATATCGTTTTTCACTAAGATCCTAAATGTGCTTTAGAAGAAATTAAAACTAGATGTTAAAAATACGACATTAACCTCAAGGAATACATATAAAAAATCTTCATCATCTTTATTTGCAAATATCTCAGCTTCTGAAAATGGCCAATCGTTTTCTAATTTTACTGACGTGTGGATATTTCCATCGATATACAATTGAAAAGGATTTCTAAAAAAATATTCGGCGAATCAACTGCCTTAATTCAATTTTAATGTTATCGTGAAGTTACAAACGCTTCAATTATTACATTTATATAAGCATTGAAAATAACCTATTTTTTTGATGATAAAACTGCGACAAACAGAAATTTGAGACATCATCACGGTTAATGTGGAATAGTAATTATAGAAAGTAAATTATATAATTAGAATCGGACTTATTTTGCTATCTTAGTTCTTCTACTGCATTGTAGAATTTAAGACACACAAGATAGGGCCAACATTTCAAGCGACTCAGAAATGTTCGAATGCAAGAGGTTAATTAATAACGATAATGGCAACGATAGAAGAATTAAACTGTGGAGGAACGACAAGTTGCGGTGGAGGGAAAGAGGGATAAAGTAGTAAATACCGCCCACTCGCGCGTGCGGCAGATTAAAGCACACGGGGTGAGCGTCGGTGTTTGTCGGAGAGTGTCTGGAAACGGCAGATTGTAAAATTACAACAGGTGACAGACAGCAGCCACGCGCGGGACAGATGCAACGCCGCGCCGTACTTCGCAGCTTTGTGTACAGTCTCGCGCCTGCGAGATGCACGCGCGCGCGGCCTCTCGTCCTGCCCCGATGGGATAGCCGCGTGGCTGTTCGGATAAAAGGCGAGGGTGTGAATGGAGGAGTGAGAGAGAGAGAGAGAAAGAAGCGCCGTATACGGCAATCCATTGTGCTCGACGAGTTTGGAAAAGCCGACGAGATTTCTAGAGCGCTCGTTTTATCGTTTGCTTATTCTCTTTGCACCGATAAAACATCATTATCTGTGCTCAGGAGAGGGGAGGGGGGACGAAACGTTGGAACAATAAGAATTTTACTTGGAAACTTAAATATTTTCCTTTCGTATATACAGAAAAAATGCTAGAATCAAATAAACGCGATTACCTGCTTTTCAGTCTCTTAAATCAAGTGATATTTTTATTAATTGTAGTAAATATATTTATTTGAATGTTTAATAATATTATAACTTGTTGTAATTGTTTTAATACATACAAATAATAAAAAAATGTCTACTTAACCTTACATTAAAATTGTCGACTTCTCACGAAGGAAATATCATATTGTACATAGTCAATTATATTTTTACTTCCAATAAATATTTGCCAGGGAATATTAAAGTAACAATTTTAGTTGGATCAAGTAAATATTACTTGAATGGCAGCACTTTTTTTCCGGTATAGTTTTATTCATATGGGGGAGCGCGTGCACTTGGCGTCTTTTTAAGAATTTTCAGAACAGAGTACGATAAATGGACAGTTCGAAAGGAATTGTACTATCAAAAATATCTGTGCAATAATTGACCTTTCTCTCGTGTCTGGTGTCGCCTCCAATCAATAAGTTGAATTCGTTTCATCAGTTGAATTTCACTTCGTTCCATTCGTAGAAGAAATCCTCCGAAGAAAGCGGAAAGTCAAATCCAAATTTTTCCGGTTGACCCAACATATCGTTTAATGCCAATTAATGTAATTTAATGCCATTTTCCACAATTAGCACGAATGTTCAAAAGATATCCCAAGGATATTGGAACATTCTGGGACGTCTCTGGAACGTCTTTCGAACATTTGCGCTGTACGGGTTAACTTGCGACCGCATCGCGTCGGCAAACCGATTGTAGTCAGTAGCGAAAGGATTGCGAAACTCTGTAATCTCGATAAATGTATAAGAACGCAATAGGAAAATTGATCTTCCGAGAATGACTAAAAAACAAATCCTGTCACACGTTGCAAAACTCGTCAAGAGAGAGAGAGAGAGAAAACCTTCTTCCTGCCGATGACTACACACCTATGCACGCTTATATTAATTATTGCGTTTTGCCAATAGATGCCTGCTCGTCGCGCTCGACGCCGAAACCGAGGCCGCCGACGCCGACGGATCGCCCGAACATCACATTCCACATGTACACATGTCCACCGGATTACGCAGAGTGGTATTGCTTGAACGGCGCCACGTGCTTCACCGTTAAAATTGTCGACTCCCTCCTGTATAACTGTTTGTAAGTAATTCGCTTTTCTTCGAATTATACACTTGTCTTGGACCGCGGCCGGTCGTTCGCTTTTTCACTCGCTCGTCCGTCCCGAATGGAATTTTCACCTGTGTGTGGGATTTTCGATGGCGAAAATTCCACTGCAGACCGTCGCTCTCGACGGCAGTTGGGCTCTTTGAATATGTCAATATATGCAGGGACGCGTACGGAAAAGGAATTATGGGCTCGTTCGAGATGGATGGGCACAATGTGCAACGCTACTGCGAACAATCGCGCGAGCGGCGGTTCTAAGCGAAAAAAATCACGCCGAGAAGACAGGCTTCGCCTAGTCGTTTGTCTGTCCATGTCGCTTCACTGTTAATCTTCAACTATGCGACCTCGGCACGTACGTCGACATTCTCCCGGCCGATCGTGTCGAGACGCGAACACGCCACCCCCTGCTCCCTTGGTACCTCTTTCTCCTCTTTGCCGTGCCGGTTTCATTTCGTTCCCCTTTTTTATTTAAACGTCATAAATTTTTGGAAGAGGATTCCGAACTCTTCCGAGACGTCTCCGGCGCTGAAAGGCAGAAATATGGATGCGCAGTCCGGGTTGACGAGTTATGGGCGAAAATGAAGAAACTTCGGCCGGGGACATATCGCATGATATATTTTGATGCGGCCAATTCGACATTGCTATCGGTTCACGGCTGTTGTACAACTTACAGTACGTGTAATTGCTTTTAGGCCCGAGTTGCGCCAATGTTTGGCTTTAAGTAGGACTTAAATATGCGTCTGTCTTTTATTTATTTAGAAAGAAGGATAACGATAGACGCATGTTCAAGTCCCCAAATATCTTAATTTATGGGTTGTTTTAATTTGATTAAAGTCTTCCACTTTGTCGGGTTTTACAGAACTATGTAATACATAAGAGAACACAAATGGCTTGAAAATCGAAATAATTTTTTTTATTTTAAAAACGAAAGAATTTTTTCTAAATAGTCGTAAATAAAAACGATCGACAATCGTGTCATGCTTGACACATGAATGGCAATTGGATATATTCGGTAGTTTTCTCTTCTCTCTTCTATAGATGTCAGAAATATAGTCTAAAATTCGAGCACTGTGAAAGGGAAAAAAGGGTCTATCAACTAATCGGATTAACATCGAGGAGCGGTGCGCACCGTGCTCGCTCAACCTTACCATTTCCCACGGTGTTTGCTTTGTCGACCGCGATCTGCCGCTCGGATCGTCCCGTCGTCTTCAGTTTACCGCGGCCAACTTAAATTAATCTAACGGTCGCGCTTTATCGCGAAAGTTGAAGTTGAAGCGAGGTACCGCTGAGCGCAATTTCACGATAAGGTGCGAGAAATGCTCGCGAAGAGCCCGGAAACGACTGTGTCGATGAATAATTGCGAGAGCTGAACGTAACGATACCGAGTAACGCGACGATATTTATAGTAGTTTTACACGATGCCGAATACAAGTCAGACGTGACTTGAAAAATCGGACAAGAGAGCGAAAGGAACTTTCGGAACTTACTTGAGAATCAAAGATACCGAAATGAAAAAATTAAGATTGTAAAAAAAAATGAAACAAAGATCGTGAATAGAATTAATTTACGGATAAAAGAGCGAAAGGAAATTTCGAAACTTGATCGAAGTAAAAGGATTAAAACTATTAAAAAATTGAAACAAACGGAAGTGTTAACGCAAAAATGAAGACAAAAATACGGCGAATAAAATTAATTTACCGGGACCGATAAATCGAAGGAGGTGAACGTCGTCACCTGAAAAACAAATGAGAAAAAGGAGAAGGAGGGGGGAAGGGGAGAGAGAGACGCAGAGACGACGTTCTACTTTTCCATTTTTCGCGCTCCCATAATCACGTTCGGATTAGATAATCAGGTGAAGAGAAGATTTCGCGCGCACGAGATGGACGGAGAAAATGTACTAAGGTGGAAAGTGGTAGACGCGCGAAGGACGTTTCCATTTTTCCGACGAACGAGACAACGATCGGACGAGCCGCTATTACTTAATTCGATTTAACGGTACGTTTCAAGAATCGCGTCTTCATCGAATTGCATCGAATTGGAGTCTCACACGCAATCGCGCAAATTGTAAGGCCGAATTTGCAACGAACAGGAGGGAAATAATGTATATTTAAAGACACACTTAAGGATATTTAGTCGAATTATGAGTCTCGCGAACGGGAGGGAAGCTAATTAAAATCGCATACTCGCGAAATTACAGCCGTGTAAAATTACAGTCATTCGCGCGAGAGTCATTCGCGCTATGATTATATCAGAGCGGATCTGTGATCTATGACGTCAAGACTGAGAGACCAGAAGAAACCGCATTAGCGATAAAGTTGATTTCTCGCCGGCGCACCGGTAATAATAATACGCAAAATATATGTGAACCGTGCGATCGAGTCGAGAGAGAGAGAGAGAGAGAGAGAGAGAGAGAGAGAGAGAGAAACGCTGTCGAGAGAGGAAGTCGATCGAGCCGATAGATAATTCGAGAGGTAAAACGCAAAAGCGGAAAAAGAAACGCGCAACTAATCGCGCAATGCCATCCCTCATGCGAAGGCCGAAAGAGAGAGAGAGAGAGAGAGAGAGAGAGAGAGAGAGAGAGAGAGTGCGTATACGTGGAAATGGCAATCCGCCTGGAAAACCGCATAGTATGCGACATACAGTTGTGTACACAATAAAGTTCTTATTATTATTATCAAGATTGGGTAATAACTTCTCAATTAAAAAGTTATTACCTCGTAGCTTGACTTAGTTAATTTTAAATGAGTTAGTTTTTAACTTGTTGTAAATTATATCATTAAAAGTGAACCTATTTTGCTATCTCAGCTCTCCTACTGTGTTGCAGAATCAAAGGTTTAGCATAGGGCCAAGATTTCGATTCGGGAACGATCGTGCGCGCGATGGAAACACGCCGATGATACTCACGCCCGTTGCCTTCCTGTTAATCTCATATACCGCTAATTGTTCTGAGAACTCTTTTAATTATCGCGTAATCACGCGCGAACCGTAAAGCGCAATATGCCAAATTTAGCCGGCTGTTGATTCCCTGAAATGCTTTCCCCGCTAATTAAGCTTAATTGAGCGCTTACTAATTGGACGTTTTTGACACAGGTGCTTCTATCTGATTAAATGCGCGCGATACGTTAAGAGAGAAGAGATGAGAGCGACTCGAACCTCCCTTATTACAACATCCGGCATTCGCGAATTCCGCCGGATTCGCGTTATTTCGATAAGGTCGAAATTAATTAAGCTAATTGCTGATGTGGTGTGTCCGCAGGTGCGCCAACGGATACATCGGGCAGAGATGCGAGTTTAAGGATTTGGATGGTTCCTATTTACGTAAGTAGAATCTGCTTTTCTCTCTGCTACTCGGCAGCAGCATTGTCTTCCAGTTGCTTAAGCCACCCTTTGTTGTCACCCTTTTTCTCGACGAGTCACAAAAATATTTACTGTCATTCAAAATGATACTCACTCTTTTTCTGAGCTGCCGTTACATTTGTAAAATATGGGCGTTCTACGTATATTCCTGCCGTCCTCCCTCTTAATAAAACTGCTACGAAAGCGTACTTGTATCATTCATGCCTCTGAAATTTCCTTATTGTAAATTTTCAAATCGTACTACGAAAGGAACCACCCTCGCTATATGTCCAGAGACAAAGTTGCGAATGTAAAAATAACTTTTTTACTTAAATAAAAAAATCCTCAGAATCTGACAGAAAATGTCAGTTTTTCGTCAGAAGTAGCAGCCACTTTTTGTTGTTCCGGTGACTGGGTGGCAGCGCTGTGTGTGTAGCAGCGATGCTCGCGAATCGGACAAAAATGACACCTCTTTTTCTTCTTTCCCGTAGCTTCACGGCAACGAGTAATGCTGGAGACAGCCAGCATCGCCGGCGGTGCCACAATAGCAGTATTCCTCGTCGTTATCATTTGTATAGCGGCTTATATCCATTGTAAGCGAAAGCAGAAGGAATTGCGGTCGAGGTAATTGATCGTTCCATTATTATTGCTGTTATTTCATTCGCGGCACGGATTTCGGCATATCCGGCGCGTGTGAAAGAGTCGCGAGAGAGACTCCTTCAACTCCTCGAGGAAGCTCGATACGTCACCGGTTCATCGCGCTCGTTCACCGTCTCCTCCTCGACGTTACGTTCAGCCTGCCATGTTTTTTCCTTTTTCTCTCATTACAGCAGTAGCTGCATCGACACGGTGGATGGTCCCGGCCGAGATCCGGAGCTGAGGCCGTTCAGCAACCGCAGCCGCCCTCTCACGATCTTCATGGCGAAGAGCCCCAACTGCTCGGTAAGGGAAAGAGGACGCGCCACGAAGTAAGCTCGCGTGTCCGCGTTCTCGGTTCTTGCAAAGGAATTTCTTGAAAACTCGCTGACAAGAAGTGATAACGCGTGTTCAGTCCGACCGGAAAGAGTTGAGACAACTGACCGTAGAGTAGAAACCTCCTACAATCGAATTTTCGTTTGGTCCTCCTCCCCGGGCAACATTCGGTTACACGACGGAATTGTTTTTTTCCCTGCGAAAGTGCAAATCATTCCTAGCACTAATCTAGGAAATGGTACGATATATATGACGCCGACGGTACTAGCTAGTTATTAGCTTTGATTCAAGCCGATTAGATACACTCGGGAAGTGACGAAACTCCTCTCGATTTCCATTTCACGGCGCGACAATATCCAACTTACGACTACAACGATAATAATAATAATGTGTCGTGTGCGACCTCAGGCAACGATAGAGCAGACCAGAATGCCCGGCTGGAATTGTCCAGAGACGGAATCGATGAGGATGGCGTCCATCGGCGAGAACAAGCACCCGAGCCAATAGCGAAGCACAGTCGCCGTCCACGTATCGCAACGTCCCGCCGTGGCGATTCGCAATCGGCAACCTGCCGCCGACATTCGCCTCGGGACGACCGGGTCGTCACTCGAATCATAGCGCGAGGTAGCTCTCGACGTTCCTCGAGCATAGCAGCGCAGAGCGGCCTTTAGTAGTAGCCTTTAATAGTAGCAGTCAACTCTTGTTGGAGGTGTCATCGATCATTCGATCCGGCGAGTGACTCTCTCTGAGAACGCGCGACGCACTGAGAGAGTCGTCGAGTACGCACGAGTTGTGACGTTGATTTCCGAGCTGAGCCAAGTCGAAACATTCCCGAGAATTGTCGTACTCGATCCTCCTCGCCGCCGTCTCGCGACTCGATCGCGTCGTCCGGCGTTCCCTTCGCGTCTGTTATTCCTTCCAGCGAGAGAGACGTCTCCTCTCGTTGAACGATCGAAATCCCCCCCGCGAAGAAGAGAAGAAGCAAGGAGACCTCGCACGAGAAGGAGAACACAGTGTCGCGTGAGAGGAGAAAGCGAAGAAAACGAAGCGTTTCCATTAAGACCCCCCCCC